ATAACACTGTTCTAGTGGTTTTTGGATATTTTAATAAAAAAATCTTACATATTGTGCCTTTAACGCCGACAATTATTTTATCGATTACTATTATTATTATTATTATTATTATGAAAGTCCGTTGCTCACTGGCTCTGAATATACATACAGACAAACCATGGGTCACAGGAGGGGTGGGATGTTGATCAGTACTGGCTTGGGATGAGTACGTGTCTCAACCAATGTGAGCATTTTGGGTGGGCCTAAGACTGCAGCAGCGCTCACATGAATGCTCCCGATCAAATTATTTAGGCTAAGCATCAACATTCACAAACCACTGTCCACTGTTATTTTTAACAGAAAAGAATGCAACGTGCTCTTAATCACGACTTCATAAGTAGGAAATAGGAAGTTTCCGATAGCACGTGAAGACAGAAGAGAAGCGCTCTCGCTCAGCACAGTGGAGAGCATCGTTTTGTTAACTTTGTGGTTTATTATTTTGAGTCGTTTGGGACGTGGTAACACACGGCCCTCTCTCACAATATATTGCTTTACAGATCTATCACTCTTGCTGCTCAGAAATGTTCCCGCAACGTATCATGGAGCACGTTAGCGCTCATACTCACTGATCTATAACTGAACCGCGCTCTGGCCCACCTCTTCCAACCGAGCCAGGGATGGCTAAACGAACCACGCCCGAGCGCGGCATGGAGCGATCACACTAGTCAAACGAACTGGGCTTTGGGGGTCAAACGCGCTAGGGCACGGTTAAGATTGCCTAGTATGAGTACACTCTTATTCTCCCGCATAAATGAGTGTCTACACACCCGCACCTGCACTCGCCCATCAAGTGTTGTCCCGCGCCGCACTCTGCTGCGTTAGGATAGTGCAGGTCTCTAAGGTTCCTGTTATAATGTTATGATGGAGGCTCTGGACTCTGAGCATACCTTGTTTTTCTATAAACTATAAAATATGTTTCTATAAAAACGTTAATGCCCTGGCAGTGGCAAATAGCTTTGGTTTTATTCACTTTAGGTACTTCTTGTATTGTGTACTGTTTCCAGTTGTTGAGATGTATTGTTTCTTATTATTTTTATTGTCTCTTATTGCTCATTTTCTAATATTTATTGTCTTTTTATTATATTGTTTCTATGCCCTTCTACTAGGGTTGGGTAAAAAAAACATCGATATCTCGATTATAATCGATTCTCATTTTTACTAAATGATATCGATTCTTAAATCCCAAGAATCAATTAGTCTAGCCTGTATTTTTTAATGACAGCCACCATTTAAATGTTTATATTTAAAAAAAAATGAAATTGAAGTAAAAATATTATGTAATTGTAACTTTTATTATAAAAACTTAATTAAGTGTAATTTAAGCAGTTGTATAGTCAAAAAAATCGGTCAGTTTTAACCTTCAATATTATATTAATGTAGTACCAACTGACTCTCATGTATATTTTACAGCATTAGAGTGACCATAAACTCATTAGTCAACTAGAAAAATAAACTGTAGAGAGGAGCATTTTTCTAAATATATGCACCATATAATATATTCATTATAACTTTTACTGTTCTTCAATGTTTAATTTATATATTTTTCTTCTACCCCATCTTTTCAAGAGAAAGAATCTCACTGTACTGAAGAAGTACAGATGACAAAGATCTTGAATCTTTATAAAAGCAACTTTATTTCCAGACGGAACTGATGAGTTTAGTCAGCTTTTGCCATTTTTTGGTCAGAATGAACAGACTGTCAGTTTGTAGCAAATGTTTATATTCAAAGTATATGAACACACATTAAAGGGTTCATGTGATGTTGCTAAAAAGAACATTATTTTGTGTATTTGGTGTAATGAAATGTAAAAATCACTCAGGGCAACAACAACATTATAAATTTTTTTTATCAGAATTTCAAACGCGTGCTGTGCCGCATGACTACTGATCATCATCTCTACCTCAATGTTTCTCCTGCCCCTCTCACTGTCAAACACTAATCACGTGAGATGACTGCATGCAATCAAACAAGTTAAAGACAATGAGCAAGAGAATAAAGGAAGAGTGAGCCGGTGAAAGTGTGGATGAAAATGGCAGTGGGCAGAGGCCAACCGAGGGAAGCACATTGTTTGCACATCGAGCCCATTGTCGTGCAAATGGCTGAGCATTTGAAAAGCGATATTTCCCCTCTCAGGTTCCAGATAAAAATCTGCCCTAAAAAAACTCAGGGCAACAACAACATTATAAATTTTTTTTATCAGAATTTCAAACGCGTGCTGTGCCGCATGACTACTGATCATCATCTCTACCTCAATGTTTCTCCTGCCCTCTCACTGTCAAACACTAATCACGTGAGATGACTGCATGCAATCAAACAAGTTAAAGACAATGAGCAAGAGAATAAAGGAAGAGTGAGCCGGTGAAAGTGTGGATGAAAATGGCAGTGGGCAGAGGCCAACCGAGGGAAGCACATTGTTTGCACATCGAGCCCATTGTCACGCAACTGGCTGAGCATTCAAAAAGCGATATTTCCCCTCTCAGGTTCCAGATAAAAATCTGCTCACTTTGTGAAAATCATGAGCAATCAAAATGCTGAGCTCTTCACTTCAGTCACTATCAGACACGAGCCACACATATTTCAGCATTAAACAGCACACACACATGCCACATCTTGTATTGTGGCAGTCTGTTTGCATACCTTATATATTTTACCTACTAAACTAAAAACTACATATGTTCCTAAAACTGTGGTCTGTCAAATACTTTAAATAAGTTTATTGGTTATATTTTTTAGTGTGCTTTATTTACTTTGCATTAACTTTAATGGAAAAGCTCTTGGTTTGTTTTTAATGAGGGTATTGTATGCATCGCAGACATTCACGTAATGATGACAAAACTGATCTACAATATCGGGAAACTGACAGCATTGTGGGCAAAAGTGCAGGACATCAGACTTAAAATAACACTTTTCATGTGAAAAACATTAGTGGTCAGCTAATACGTGTTTTTCAATGCCCGAGGTTGAGTGGAATTGTCATATTTGTGTTGCAATTTAATTAAGAACACCAAGGTGTACATCCAAGCAAATCAATACACAAAATTTACACTAATATTTTTGAAATCAGACATTTAAGATGAACCTCACATGCTCAAAGCCAGTTTTAGTGAGACAAAATCAAGCCTTTCATAGGCAAAAGCTGCATTCTAAAAATAAATGCAAATAAAATTTTTACTCTTTTAATTGCTTCTCATGCTCAGTATTTTTGTTACAAACTTAAAATTCAGTTCACTTAGTTTCATTAACATTAGTGCAATTTAAATAAACTCTTTATCTGTGTGCATGACTCATCAAAAAAAAAAAAAGTAAAATAAAATAAAAAATTCATAAGCATAATGATTCCGGCCAATTATGTCAAAAACATTCTATCAAATACAGCAGAATCCAATAATGCTTCCACAATCTTAAGAATTAAGAAATTTGCTTTGTTGAAACAAAAATATCAATGTCCTCTATCTGAGAATATCACTGTGTCAACAGTATGCAATAATGTTTCAGTTCATGACAGCCAGAGCAGGCCCCGCCCCCTCACCCAACAAGCACCAATCAGATTCGGGTGGTGTTCCCTTTAAACGCCCCCAAAGGAGCTGCAGGAGAGCCTCTGATGGGAATTTGAACCCTTCCACCTTACAATGAAATGTATAGAAACAGTTGGAAAATAATTCAAAACAACTAGAGATATCAGAATAATAGGTATTTCTGTGAATTATAAGTATATACAATTTTGAGTCTCATCTGTAGAAATTTGTTCACACGGTCATATCCTTCAATACAGAGAAATACATAACAGATATCAGAATAATATGCATCTCTGAATTATATGTATATATAAAGTTTTGAGTGTCATCTGTAGAAATTTGGTCACACAGTCATATCCTTCAATACATAAAAAAAATAAAAATAAAACGACATTCATGTGAAAATTACAATGTTTTATTTTGAATATATTAGAACTGTTTTTGATGTATTATTATAATGTAACATGTCTATAAATTGTTTTATGATAAATTACGTGAATAAATTGTTTTATGACCAATATGATACATTATGTATAAATACAAATGTCTGTATTTTATGAATACTTTGATGGATTATTATCACTTTATTCACAAATTTCTATAACAATTATAGGCTATATAAAAAAATTAAATAAAAATATCAATAAAAATGTTATTCCTAATTCTATGTTTCTGAGTTTTATGTATATACAATGTATTACGTTTTATTATGTATAACTGTTTTCAATGTATTATTTTAATGTAGCATGTCTATAAATTACGTTTTATGATAAATTACGTCTATAAATGTTTTATGACCATTATGATACATTTTGTATAAATACAGATGTCTGTATTTTATGGATGCTTTGATGCATTAACCTCACTATATTCACACATTTCTATAACAATTATAGGCTATATAAAAAATAAATTAAAAATGTTATTCCCAATTCTACATGTTTCTGACTTTTATGTATAAACAATGTTTTATATAGGCTACTGACTAATCTCACCTGAAATGGCAGCATGTTGTTGCTGTTGTCGGTTCTGAAGGGCTCCGGAGGCTCTGAGATCATCCAGGGTTTCTGCAGGGCTCCTGGTCTCTGGTATTTCGGGGGCGCGATGACATTGCTCGGGAAGGGCTTCTTCGTCGGGGAGATGGGGTTGAGCGGAGACGGGACGCCGAGCCCGAGCGCTCTCCGCGGGTCTCTGCCGCTCCAGGGGTTCGCCGCGGAGCTCCACACCGCGTTCTGATGGTTATTCCAGGCGGACGAAGAAGCGGACGACGCGGACACTTTATTGATGAGCGTCTGGTGGCTGTAGGGGTTCCTCTGGTTCACACTCAGCGGAGACCTTCTCATCTGCGGGGAAAAATTACCCCCGAAAGCCGGGTTGACGTGATGGGGAAAGTTTTGAAAAAGCATCGTCCCGTTTACCGGCGGAATCCCTTGGAAAAAGCCTTCGTCTACGGCGTTGGTGGACCAAGTGCTGCCGAACGACGGCGACAGAGAGGAATCCTGAGGGAAACCCAAACCCGGTAACACCGGAGACTCCATGGCGACCCGCTCGTTGTGACCGACGTGGTTCTGCTCGTCCAGCACCGGAGGCTCGGAGGGGGTCGGGGTGGATGGAGGCTCTGTATTTGACGGCTCTTGGTGCTGGTGAGGCTGAGCTTTGCTTTTGTCCATCAGTAAATCATCCTGCATGTTTTGAGCTGAAACACAGATGACCAGTTATTATTGATCACAGCGATCGGGGCTGGGGTTTTTATTATTAATGAGCCCCTGATCAGCTATCAGGATCTGTCTCAACTCCGGTTTTACCCCCCTCGCAACACGAATAAAGAAGAGAAAAGCTCGGAGGTCACCGATATTCACCAATTTTCGCCACGTCTCGTTTTTCTCTCACCGGAACTCCAGACAGAAATGAGAAACTGATTCTTGTTCCTGTTTTTTTCTTCTCACAAGCCCCGCCCCTTAATTTGCATACGTCAATAAATACAGCTGCGTCCTTCAGCGAGGTTAAAACACGCAAAGAGGTTTGCACAGTTTACTTTTAAGCGTGTAGTCATTTGTTTACAGTCATCGTAAGACTTCGCGACGTTGAATTTTGACGAATGACAGCTACTTAGCTAAATACAAACGTGCAAAAAGTTTCTTGTAGTTTTACAGCTAATAATTAATAATAATTTAATATAATTTTATTATATTAAAATTAATAATAATTTTTCTGGTTCAGTGCATTACGGAATACATGCTGATATTTCAGGTGACTTCATCCCTAATGTGCAATAACTTTTGTGCGTTGGCATCGTGTCAAACGATAGTTTGTTGTGTATTTATGATGTCTACATGTTTATTCGTACAAATGTATCAATTTATTGTAATATATGTTGTGCAAATTATTGTGCATCTTATTTATTTTGTGTATTCATACAATCAGTAAAGTACATATCTAGCTATCTAGTAAGAAAGAACATGTACAGTTCTAAGCTCAAGTTTGTAAACTATATGTTCAGACATTTTGACTTGGATGGTGTACAACAGACCGTGGCACAGCTCAGCAACTAGGTTATATTTGCTGCAGGATCTTGGGTTACACCCAGCAATGCTGCACAAAACATCTACGCAGCAGAAATCCCTAAAGCTTTTTATTTTTTTCACTTCATGGCTTTTAGCCACTTAATATCGAGACATATCCGAGACACATCTCTATTTTGCAGCCTTTAGGGAATTATGTCTCATATATTGTTTACCAATTTTGTGAAGGGTTAAGCCTACCATTTCTTATGCAAAAAAGATCGAGCGAAAAGATATTTTTAACCTAAATGCAAAAAAGTAGGCTACATCAATTTCTACATACCTCTTGAGGGTTTCTACGATGCCAAATATATTCCCATGAAAAACAGGCCGAGAATGCGACAGTTTCAGCGAGCCTGACGGATTTATGAACTCTACCTTTAATCAAATTTGAATCAGAATAGACGATCGTAACAAGATGAAGAGCGTTTCTGCCAAATATTCCGTCCGTTAATCCTCGTTTTGCTGCATTAGAGCTGCATATTCAAGGTCATTATAGAACTCATCACTTCAGAGCACGCGTTGACCATCTAAAAGACAGTAAATAATATTGCTGTATACCGGCACATCACATGCATGTATATTATAATGCATTTCTAAAATGCACCGGGTTATTGGAAAGGGAAAGAAATCAAATCCAACACTTTAATCCGCTGCACACAACTCAGAGTAGCTATTATTAAACACACATAACATGCATCTGATGGGTTGACTTTTTTTTCTCTTGCTTTCTTTTTTTCCCGCTGTACATGAATCAGACTTTACCTTATCGTTCACCTTTTGGGATTCTGTAAATAAGGCTATTTCTGTTTGTCTCGCCTGGGTTTTGATATGACAGATGAGCTGCCCTTCTGCAGTCGCCTCAACAGCTGATTGACTGCGGCGCATGGCTGATGCACTGAGGGATTGTGGGAATTGTAGTTTTTCGGTCAATACAGCCATCAAACGCACTATATGACGCGTTGTAAAGCTTATAATATAACATGCAAATCACAGTTTAACCCTTTAGCATACAGTGACAGTCCCAATATATTATGGTCCAGATGGTGTGGCATTTAAATTAGGTAGGCTACTAAATATAAAAATATTAAAGACACAATTTTTAAATAAAATATGATTTTATTTAGCAAAGTATAGCACCCTTATGATAGAAGAAATATTACCTGACATAACAGAACTTTGATATGCAACAAAATTATGATATAGGAGGTGCGCAGTGATATGATGAACAGGTTTTGCGTCATAGATGTTGATATATTGTGGATTTTAACACGTTAAAACGCTGCACTGAACAATAAGAAGCTAGGACAAGACCTATCCATTTTATAACCCAATATTAAGCCAGGTTTAGTCGCAGTGACAATGTTTAAATGCACAACAAAATGACCTTTAACTGATGAAAGAATAAAGTTTAAAGCATTCACATGACTTAGGCATATAGGCTAATTGGTAAACAATTGCACTATATCAAATATCAAGATAATATCAAAATAAATATGCAAATCTGCTACATGGCTCCATATTCACTGCTCCTGTCATAATGGAAATTCATTTATGAAATAATTAACTTAAATTATAGCTCTAAGATATCTATTCATTGACTAATACTAATAAATAAGTTAATATAAAATACAGAAAATATTATAAAATACTAAAAGTGATTGAAATTGACCAATGTGGGTCAAATTTGGGGCATTTTCCTATAGAAGAATAGTAGAGTTAATTTTACAGAGAATAGCAGAAGATGCTTGTCACTTCAAGTCTCATATGCATCAATGAACTCAATAAAAGACAAATTAACAAAAGAAATGATCAAAATCATAACACATCAGCAATAAACAAACACCATATAATTACCTAACCATATGCCATATGAAAAGGGAAATGAATGAAGCCCTCACTCATGCTATTACTATTTCCTGGATGCTATGCCATGTTAAATAAACTATGCATTCTAATCATTTATAGATTGTACTGAAATATGTTGTCTCTCCTTACCACAGTACGAGGTATTCTGGAGCCAAATATGTATCTTCATGTTGCTCCAGCAGGCGTAGTCCCTCTTGCTCTAGGCTGCCTGCCTCTGCTAGAACATAAATTTTTATATTTTTGACTACATGACATGAAGACTACACGTCCCATAGTGCATCTGTGCTCTCGCGAGAGTCAAGTTAATGCTCGCACAAGCGCGTTGTTGCGTCCGCTCGCGTTTTCTCACGCGCAGTCAATGGAGTCGCTGCGTGTTTCTGGAATTACTGACATTTATGAATATTCATTAATAGATCGGGTTATAATAATCAATCTCAATGGTTTATAATCAGATTTCAGCCGTTGTTTAATGACAGTAAGACGCTCATATGCGTTTAGCACGGCGTTAAGATTCCCTGCGGCCTGACGATTAAATCTCTATTATTGAAATATTTAAATATTGCCATAATTTAGTTTTCAGTCATTAATTAAGTGTGTGGACTCATGTAAATATGGCAGAAGAGGGAGCGGTTGTGATGCAGCAGATTGTGGACAGGTGAGTGAAAGAAATGCAATGTAAACAAACGGCTAATGTCAGCTACATATCAACCTGTCGGTAAAGAGACATTTGTGGACTTTTATATAGTTAGAAATATTCTTAAACATATATATAAATATTCTTAAAGAACAATAGAGTAGCTAATGAGTGATTGTTTGCAGGTTTAGAGCGTTTCTGCTCTTACATAGAGATGCTAAGTCTGTTACTTACATGATGTGACGTCTATGGCGAGGGGGCGTGACCTTCATTTGGCCTTTAATTTAGTTTTGATTCAGTCTTGCTCTTTTGATTATATACTTTTTAGATCTTTAAGGTCGTTTATGTTTAACAGCTCCTGTTCTAAAGATCCATCTATTTTTTTAACGTCTGATAACACTTATTTGTGTCACCGATGTGCAGAACTGACACAACCATAAGACGTCAACAACAGAATATGCAGTATTGATATTATTAATACGCGTAACGAGTTATTAGTATTATTATTTTTAATATTGGTTTATTATAATTAATTAAGTATTTATATTAATTCCTACTTATAGAAATGTTTATTATTTGAGATGTGAAGTTGATAATTGTCCTTTTAGGAGTGGGATAACTTCTGGTTATGAGTAATAAATGTAATTCCTGATTCCTAAGCATTTTTAGTTATCTTAGCATGCGTCACGTGAGTGCATATGTTACTGGCTTCATCAAGTTTACATGGTCAATACAGGAGTTAAAAAACAGTCAGTTTTAAGACTTCATAATATGTTCGTTACATTACCATTTTTGTTTGTTTTACAAACTGTGTAACAAATTGAAATGATTTCTTGTGTTAATCAACACTATGACAGCTTAACTCGTATTGACCCCAGAATATTCCTTTAGTAAAACAACTTAAGTCATAAGAGGCTTGATTGCCTGTTTGATCTGACTTGCACACCTGCTCAGGTCAGCCGATGATTTGGGAAAGGTTCATGGTAGGGCTGCACGATAAATCGCATGCGATATTTAACGCGCATCTTGTCAGAAAGCCGGTTCTGTAATCAGCGGTAAATCTCCATCACGTGCGTGCTTTCACATTGAGCAGCATTAACTACACAGAGCCGTTGTTCACTGACGAGCTGCGCAAAACCACGTTCATATTCGCGCGATTTTTTGATTCGGCCCGAATCAGTTTTTAAAGCATTTTTGAAAAATCCCTCACTCTGCCTTTAATGCTGCTCAATGTGAAAGCACGCACGTGATGGAGATTTACCGCTGATTACAGAACCGGCTTTCTGACAAGATGCGCGTTAAATATCGCATGCGATTTATCGTGCAGCCCTAGTTCATGGTAAAACCTTTGCCACATGACTTGCGTGATGTTGGTCTTAAGTATTATGAGCTTTTACTTTTAATGAACCCAGCAAAAAGGACAATGTGTCCTGGAGACATTTATAATGACACTGTTGTGGTCAGTTTTTTCAGATTGACCCTCAGGGGTCATAAATAAGCACTATTGAATATTCCATGTAATTGCAGATTTTCTATATATAGGATCATTTTTTGGTAAATGACATGGACAAGTTCTCATTTCAGTAATTATTCATTGGGTCACTGCGTGGGGTCGAGCTGTTTGGTGTCCTGACCTTGTCCATGTTTTTCCACGCAGGCTGTCCTGTTTGCCAGAGGGCCAGCACTTGCAAAATAAACTAGACTGCACTGGCCTGTTGATGGGACACAATTGAGCAGATCTGTCCTTCCAGTCCAATAAAAGACAGCTAAACTTTCATATGTTAGTATATATACATTTTAAAAGGGGTTTTTTTTTTTGGAAAGAAATTAATACTTTTATTCAGCAAGGAAGTATTCAATTAATCTAAAATGACAGTAAATTTTTTTTTACAAGATTTCTACTTAAATAAATGCTGTTCTTTAAAGGGGTCATATGATGCTTTTTTAAAGATCATTATTTTGTGTATTTGGTGTAACAGAATATGTTGACATGCTTTAATGTTCAAAAAACACATTATTTTTCAAATACTGTACATTATTGTAGGTCCTCTATGCCCCGCCTCTCTCAAACGCTTCGTTTTCTACAAAGCCCCCTCCTT